TGCAGTCACATTCTTCAAGTATCATATCCAATCAAATGATATGAACATTTGCTCTTTCAATAAGAGCTATGCAAAATAACATCTTGGCATTTCCCAAATAGTAGTAAGTTATACTTGCTAATTAGAAGAATAAATACAGAAGTTGGCTCTGGTGGAGACTGCTACCTTGGTGCCCTTTGCTGTCCATATATAGCTACAGTGCCCCAAGACAAGTTTCTCATGTTGTCACACAGACCCTAACTAAATACATGGGGATTAATTCCTTATCTTGGAAAGAGAGATACATCTTTGGAGATAGATATAGGTTCAGATATTGATTGTTTTCATTGATTAGTTTCATGATGTTGGGGAAATCATTAACTTCTCTTCAACTTAAATGTACTCATTTCTAAAGTGGATTTATTAAAGTCTACCTACATTTTATAGACACAATATATAAAGTAAGATATCTAAAGTGCATAACAGTAGGAATTAAAATCCTATTATGTTGTGATTCTAACTTCAATTGCTTAGCAATTTTGAGTACAACCATCCCCGAAGTATCCAAATGGAACAACCAGAAGGCAAGATCAATAGTTAAAGACATACATACATTAGGACTACATAGGACTTTAATAATCATTTGATCCAATTCCTTCATTAAATACCTCATTATCATCAGTATCAGTTAACAATCTTTACAAGGTCACCAACCAGAGGGTGTCAGAGTTTTAATGAAGAAAGTTTTTCTTGAATTAAAAATATTTTTATTGGCTCCCATTGAGTGCACTGAAGCTTCAAATTAAAGTCCTATTGTAAAAATTAATATTATATGCTGGACTTTCAGGTAATTAGCCCTTCTCCCCACTTTCCAACATGACAGATATTAGCTCTGCATACACAGACCATATTTCAGCAGAGTTATGGCATATACGCTAAAGAATAATGTATCGGCAACTAAAGGTTTTAGAAACATTTAAATGATTTCATATTACTTTGTTTTATAACGAATGAAAAGTAAAGCACTGGAAAGTAAAGCATTGTAGTAAACTGGGTCCCAACATGAGGGAAGGCGATTGTGAAGAGAAGCAAGGAACAAAAGAAAGCTGCAATTTAGAGAGCAGTCGTTCATTATAACAAGAATAAGAATAGGGGACAGTTATTCATATGGAAACCAATTTTCTCATAATTCTGTACCATTGTATGAAAATGGTTGTCTCATTTTTCATTTACATTGCCAGTTGTGGAAATGTGAATCTGGTTTGGAGAAGGGAGACTATGTGAAGAGAAAAGAAAGAGAATTCATAAATATTGACAAAAATAAACCTCTCCGACCAGTAAAAATCTCTAGGACGTTCCCAAATGAACACTGTCATGCTTCTTTCACACCTGCTGATTGGAAAATGACAGAAAAAGTTAATGATGAACCCTTGATGGAATACAATAATCAGCCTGATCTTTGTTTATTTATAATTACTTATTGATTGCATTTGTGTATGAAATTCAGATAAATCAAGGTACAGCACATCTCTTTACTTGAAACTCTCTCTTACTATGATTGACAACTCATATTGTAGATGAAGTTCTGCCTGTGATGAAAGGGTTAAAATAAAGTTGCTGTTCTTTTTTTTTTCTTTTCCTCCCTCAAGGTTTTTATCTGTGTGAGCTTAGTGTATAGCACACAAAAACTTAGATAAGAAATTTGGAGATCCTTCAAAGTGACTTCTTAGTCAAAATTAAGGCGCTCCATAATCATGTACACTTGTTATCCTTAAAAAATAAATAATAACCCTTAGAAGTGTTCTAGAACCTTCTTATCTTCTGAAAGAATGTTCTTCCATTATACTAGTCTTTAAGTGTACCTATTATTTGAGGAATCTCCTCAGTAAAATATTCAGCTGCTTTTCTCTTTAAGAGTAGAAACATCTCAATTGCTGGTTTATATCCAAGTATGTAAGCACAGGAAGGTTGCATAACATGAGGGACATTTGACATGTTAGCTATGGCATAACTGGGCTATAAATCCTTAGCATTTCAAACCCCTGGTTTCACTCAAACCCAACTATGAAATCACATGATTTTTGTCTTGTGTCAAAGGACTTGATATAACATATAAAACAGGATTTCATTTCACAATGGCTTATCATATCTACATTTCAAATTAGCTAATTTCCTCAGGATAAAACCAAAGAAAGTGTTGTAGCTACTTAATATTCTAAAAATCTGAAGCGGGGGATTCTCAGAGTTTTCATTACTTGTGGGTGATTGTGATCTTCACACAGGTTCATAATATCTATACTGCAGGTAGCCTCCTGACCTGACTTTATTTTAATTTTATTTTATCACATACTTTTAAAATTTATAATTGGGTCAACATTCATCTTCTTCTTGAAGATAAATGTTCAATTTTTGGTAAGATATTGAGAAAATTAAACACACACACATCACACAAATAGGATTAATAATGACAAAAAATATTAGAAGGACATAAACAATTAAAAGTTATTTTTACTTGACCAAGTTTACCGGTATACCTAGATAACACAGAGCATCTTTAAATAACTAATCTACTTTCAAGGCTATTATCGCAGGGATGTCAAATAGTATTTTTAAATGATAAAATAATGTTTGAACAGAATGTTTCCAATAATTGATAAACATAGACAAATTGATTTTTGAAAGATTTCTCTTCCTCAATATGTATATATAAATGATGGATTACAAATAAATGGTAAGTCATTTTACTATATTTATTGGATGAAATGTGTGAATCATAAAAATCTGGTAGAATTGGGGAATGTTATTTTTCTTCTTACAGACTCTGCATCACAGGTTCTGAAGACCATCATAGGTTCGGACCAGAAGTAATTTTCTTCTCCTATTCTATTGTTCACTGAATTACACATTTTGTCAGTATAATGAAAAATGTGTATCATGGTTCTTTAAGAACATTGACCAAAAATATTTAGCAAGCAACGTGCATTCAATTGAAATGTTGATTGGAAATTGGGAAATGAAATAGTCACTAATGAAATACCAAAGCTTATTATCACAAACTTTCATTTTAAATGTTCAGAAATAGTTTCATTGTTGCATCAGTAGTGATGAAAATGAGCTTTAAGCCATGCTACTTAGGTTTTATGAGCATTATTGTTACAGATTAAACATGATTTGATTAATTTATAGAAAATGCCATTCTACAACTTATTTTTTTCTGACTCTTAAGAAAAGGTGCTGTATAAGAAAGCCCAAATCATATTCTTCTTGAGTGTGTTCTATTTACTTCATTATTATTCCGCATCCCACCTTTGTGTGTCTTCAAAATATGATTCACTATTTTCAGATAGGTGTATGTGTGAATCAAAAAAAAAAAAAAAAAAAAAACAAACCCTGCTATTTTGCTGCCACACCTTTGCATCATTAGGACAATACTGACCTCTAGTGTTCTAATAGGTAGAGAAACTAATTCAGCACCATGCCCAACTTCCTAATAGGAAACCATTTAAATGTCTTCTAAAGCACCATGGGAACAATATCATTTAAAAGAAGAAAAAGGAAGAGGAGGGAGGGAGGGAGGAAGAGGAGGGGAGGAGGAGAAGAGAAATGTCAGATTCTAACTTGTCCTGACCAATTCTCTGACATTATTTCTAAACTAAGCCTCCTTGGATTCTCCTTTTTAGAGTGGTTGACCTCATCAGAACTCCTTTAGAATACAAACTTTAATAAAATATTTACAAGTCATTACTACTAACTATAGATTCTGAACCTCCAAAACTTCCCTCACAGATAGAAAGATGAACTCTGCTTTGGACCATTTTCAGTAAATAACATTTGTCTAGTTGTCTTCCCTTGAGATATAACTCTGAGTTGATTATCTTACTCAAGTTACTCTTGGACCTAAGAAGGTGGGAAATGAGGTAGAAGACTTGTAAGTACCTAAGTAGTCCTTTTACCTCTATCTGTCAATGATGTTTCAGATTACAAAAAATAGTATCAAAACTATTCCAGTAGAGTTAAGCATTTCTGAGGTTTGTGGTGAAATTGACAGATAGGGAATAAGCTCAGAAACTTCAGCAACCTTGAAAACAACAGAGATGGCTTAGTTACATTCTTTCTCATTTAGGAGTTTCCAGAGCTGGAAAAACTTCCCCTTCTCTGCCTGGAGAGGCAGCTGAGCTATTGAGCTTGAACCTCTGATGGCCCTAGCGATTTATTCAAGTTTGAGAAATTGGGTTCTTTAAATACATAGTGCAGGTGGTGGATCCCCAGGTGTCCAGTCTTCCTGCCTATTAAATTAAATGCCAAGTACTTGCCGAGGTTAGAGCTTAGACTACAGAGTGTACACTTAGTGCATACTCATTATGTGTTCTTTGGCACAAAGATTTTGGACGTGGAGTGTGCATCAAAGCTCTTCCTCCTGCAACAGGGGCAGCCATTGATCTTGTGGTTTGACTACATTGGGCCATGACACTTAGGCCAAAACTCCCAATCCTGTTAAATCTATGCCTATTGGTTGTATGATACCCCAACTAGAGAGGCTTCTGCAGGAGAACAGGAGAACTAAAAACCATGTATTGGAAGGCAGTGGGAATACGACAAATTCCAGGCAGCCACCTTCAGAGATGAGCTGCTGTCACTGAATGCTGTGGCTGGGCGCATCTCTGTCCCTGGAAGCTCAGCCCCCAGTGCACATAATCCCAACACAGGGCCCTTGCCAATAAAGCACTGACACAGAGCAGGCGAGCATAGAACGCGGAGCTGGCTGGAGGTTAAAGGAAGAGGACCTTCTCTCTACCCTGAACTTTGCAATTCAGAGAGAAGGGTGGAAAATTCAGCGAGGCTGGCTCATTTGAGCTCTGCTAACTTTTGGGATGGTTAGAGTGAAGGAATCACACCCATCAGCATTTCCCCCTTTTTCTTCCTCTCCGAAGACACAATTGAGCATGCTTGGACAGTTGAGGGTCTTTCCAGAGGCCAGCGCTTCCCATCTCATCTACCCGCTCCCAGCTTTTGGTACTCACAATTTGTCGCTGTTAATCCTAAATGCCACAAACCGGAGAACAGCAAAGTGAAAACGCTGGTCAGCCGTAGTACAGAATCCATTTCCCCTGGGTAAGCGGTCCCTCCCAATCGAATCCCAATTTCGCAGGCGGCAGCCACGGCTTCTTCTCTCTCTTTCTTTGCCTCAGCACTGCCGGACCCCCTCCCACCCCCCCTTAGAGGGTCACTCTCTGCTTCACTCCATCCCGAGCCGAGAGCTCTACGGAAACCCTAGCGGGGTCTTCTCTGGAGCTGCGGCTGAAGCTACAGTCCCGGCAAAAGCCGCTCGCTGGACTCGCGTTTTAAGCCCGCTCTTCTCTCCCCGCTGCTTAAAGGTGCAAACCCGAAGCCAATTGCAGCCACACGGGCTGAGCTCGGCGGCAGCCGAATCCACCGCGGCGGCCGCGAGCGCCGGAATCAGCACCCGGCGGCGGACAGCTCCTTATAGGCGCGCGGCCGCGCGGCGCCGCCCCGGCCAGGCCCACCCGCGCCTCCTCCGAGCGCGGCCGGGCGGGTCCTCGCCCCGCTCGGGTTGGGGCGCTTCCCCGCGGGGCCGGCGCTGCAGGGGCTACAGCTACCTGGAGGGGGTGGGGAGAGGGAGACGAAATCTCTGTCTGTCTGTCTGTCTGTCTGTCTCTCCTCTCTCTCTCTCTCTCTCTCTCTCTTCTCTCTCTCTCTTTCTCTCTCTCTCTCTCTAATTTGGGGATCTAATAAAGATACTGAGATTTAAACCAGGTTTTCGGAGAACGTTACTGAAGAGATACTGAAAGGAGCGGGAAGACAGGGCGCATTAGCAACAGGGAACTAAGCAGATGCTTTCTTTTCTATTCTTTTTTTTTTTCCCCCCTCTGAGAGGAGAGTGAAGACTTGAATATTGCTGTTTGAATATTGCTCGCTTGCGTTTCCTCCCTGGTGTGGAAGGCTGATGGTATTGATAGTAAATTTTGGATCTAGCGGTTTAGAATGATGTCCGTCTCCTGCTTTTTGCTGGCCCCTACACGAATCCCAACGTCCATCCGTTTCCTGCAGGCAGCGCCTTGTCGTGGGCGCCCAGCTTTGGGCAAGCGCTGCAGGGGCTGGTGCTTTGGTTCCGGAGCCCGGGTGGTTCAGCTGGCGCCAGAACGGAGAGAGGAGGAGAGAGAAATGAATATGGTGATGGTGAACGCCAAGGTGTGTGTGTTGGAGGGTTGGGGGAAGAAGTGGGGGGGGGCCTCCTTGTTCACTCATAAAATTTTAAGATTGCAGATCTGAAAACTAGGAATTTAAATTTAAAGAGGGAAAAGAGTAGTTTTGCCTATTTTTCCTGGAGGTTCTCTTTGGCTTCTGAGTTACATCTGGGAACTCTCCTGCTTTACCATAAATCAACTTATTTCGTTTTTTATTGGAAGCTGTCAGAGAACTGTCAAATCTTAACAAAATGAGGGACCGTAATGATTTCTCCTATGTGAAGAGCGGAATCAAGTTAGAGGCAGTCACTTCAGAGGAAGTTGATGCCTTCTCTTTCCTTCCTCTTGCCAGCAATAGCGAATAGGCAGCCTTAGTTTACACTATAAATGTACATTTGACAACTCTTGGTGCTCAGCTGTCTGTGGCACAGCTACAGCATGTCCAACTGAGTTGGGGGCAGCTTCTGGGTGAAGCGTGTGGTTAACTTTGTGGTTTTTGCTTAGTACTAGACTCACATTATTCAAATGCTAAAAGGTAGTTAAATGGCCATTGGATTAATAACACAGTCATTTTATTAGAAAATAATTGTGAGGGTTCTCGCACTTACAAATAAATGACCCTATTTTCTGAGCTTCTGCTGGAAAAAAATTATGTAAGGTACTGGATTAGCAGGCAACCTGAAGACTTCTCCAGCACAGACCTAAGTTGTGGGAGAAAAATTATAACCAGGAGCTGGAGAATCCCAAAATATCTAAGTCGAAGTGACCCAAGAAGCTTCATTGTAGGCAGAAGCCTGGGTAAAGTGGGGTCTGTATTTCAAAGCTGCTAAGCTTGCCTTCTACTTGGGACCCCAAGTGATTCCCTCAAAACTGGCCTTTGAAGACCCCAGGCTTAAAAAAACCTATGTGACTAGTTGGATCATGCTACCGAGTCTAGGAAAATATGACATTTTATATGTTTTTAACATTAGATATTGTACTGGTTAATACTTGAAAGTAAACATTTATTTTTCATTCTTATGCAACATGTTATCATACATAGTTACATCCCTAAATAATATGTAATATTGCTTTGTCTTTAACCAATATATAAAGGTATCCTAGTGCTTCATTTTGCACTGTGTAATCTGCTGAACATTTTATTTTTTGGAATGTAGTCACAATTTTTCCATTTAATAGCTACATTTTATTTCATTTTATAAACATACTACAATTTACTCATTAATTTATCTGTGTATAAATATCTACATTATTTCCAGGTTTTTTCCCTCTATCTCTACATCTCCATCAACTACAAGTTATCCTCTCCCTTAATATCTCTCTTTTAGTTTTTCTTAAATATTTGCCCAAGTAGATTTTCTGGACTATAGGACATGCTTATCTTCAGCTTTAGTAGGCATAGTCAGTTGCTATTTAAAGTTGTTTTATGAATTGATACCCCACCCACCCACCAGAGGTATGTGAGATTTCCCTTCACTTCATAACTTTTTCAAACCTAGAAGACCTCTCTTCAAAGGCATGGGGAAATTATATGCAGAGATCATGTCTTTAGTCACTAACTTTAATGTTCCACTGTATCATCCCTCTTCTATATCTCTCCAAGTCATATTTAGTTCAACAACATATTTCAATAATTGTGGAAGATGTTGGCTTCATTTTCTGACAGAACGGCTTAAAATGAATGTTTGTCAGTAAGATGTTCTTGGAATATATATTAAAAAGCAATCAAGAAAATCTGTCATCATAAAGCCTGTACATTGTGAATAATATTTAAGTTATTAGTAAATATTGGAATTCTGCATTTAGATGCCCATATGCAAACCTAATACATAGTTTATAAATTGCACCTAATTTAAAGTCCTAATTACACTTGTAGTGTTTTGTCTCTTTCTCTCAAACACACCTGTTCTCAAAACAACTTTCAGCCTTAAATAGCAGACATTTGTCGAAGATTTGTTAGCATTTCAGTAAGAATACTGCAATTGAGCATGTAGCAAGGGGTAAACAGCTGTTCCTCTTAGACAATAGTGTAAACAATGCCATCTTCTGGGGGCATTTTGCCAGCTAGTTTTTATTAGCCGCAGAATATTAATCACTATTAAAACTGTTTACAGCCAGATTGATATTTACCTATTGAAATTTTTTTTTGTAAAACTCTTATTCTGATAAATCTACCTCTTGAATGACAGAATAGAAGCTGAATAATCTCCCTTTTCCCCATGTTGCTTGATAAAGAAGATCTACCCATATTTGCAGCACAACTTGTTTTAAGAGACTTAAAATGTCTGTACAGATAGAACAGATTGACTGCTAATAAAGAAGGTAGAAGAACAGGTAATTGAAATCCTCACATGCTATATTTTAAATCTAACCATCTTTTCAAGCCAAATGTATCTAAAATCTTAAAAAAAATGTAATGAGTGGCTAGCACTGAGCTTCAAATCCTTTTGATTTTTCTCTTGAGCTTTTCCACGTCTTTCCCCTTAAAGGATCAAAGGGGAAAGTGTCATTCATAACTGGAATCTTAGCTTTCAAATACTCAACAAGTGGTTTGCCTCACTGATTCTGTAGTCCTCCCTTGTGACATCCAGAATGTATGTTTGGGCATCTCCCTTATATACATGGCTTCCTAAGAGAAGACAGTTATTGACATGCTAAATATCATGCAGAATTAATGTTAATGATCCCAACACACATGGCTCTCAAAATTGAAAACTTCCCATTCTATTTTCTTTATCTTTAGAAAACTTATAAGCAAAGGTCACCATGACATATAGGTACAGAAGTGTTGTTTTGAGTATCAGTACTTTTGATTATTTCAACTTCACATTTTATGTTTTTTTTTAATGATGAAAGAATGATTTCTATTGCCATCAATATCTTCAAAATAAAGTCTTAAAAAACATTGATGTGATATAAGTTTACTTTCATTATTTTCCTTTTATCTGTTCTTCTTAGTTAATGTTTACATTTCCTTCTTTCTTCCCCCTTTTTATAGTAATTAGCTGGCAATATACTGTATCTGTAAAGTGTAAGAAATGGTAAAATGTCTGGCTGTTATGGAACCAAAAGTGATTTGGCAAAATATGATGTAAACACATTAAAAATTTAAGAAAAGAATACAAGTTAGCATGTGATTAAGTAGCTCAATTAATAAGAGCTATAGAAGATTTTAAGTTGACAAAGATTGCTTCCTCTGGGGAGGAAAACTTGCAATTGGCATAATGAAGAGGTTCTTTGTCTCTTCGGGGGTAAAGGGATTTGAGTCACTGTGGGCCATGAAGTTTGTTATTCATGTCAAGTTAGGTCATGTGTGTTTGCCTTAACAGGAAAGTCAACTCTTAGAATAAGAAAGGCAAAATTCAACTTTTACAGAAAGGTGGACTTTTCTATTGAGATAAATGACTTAGCCAAATACTGAGCAAAAATTAACTTGAGTCACATTCCACTACTGTTCTCTCTGATTCTATCTCAAACTCTTCAAAATCTTAACACTCTTCACCATAATACTCATTCTTGACATTAAAACTTATCATTTGTATCATTCTTAGGTGGTAGATCTTTTTTTTACATAGGAAAGATCAACTATATCCACACAATTAATATCTTTTAAATAAAAGTTACTTTGAAAGAAAAAAAAAAAAAGAAAAACACCATGATCTTCTATCTCTCCTGCAAGTTAAAAACCTTGAAATGCATGTTTCTCAGTTGGTAATATGCCATACTGTTTACAATTCCTTCTCTTTCTTCCTTTGATGGACTTCTCCTTCCAAATTGACTGATTTTCACTCACCAAGTCCAAATTCAGGTAACACTTGGCTCTTGAGGCCCTTAATGATTATTATATAATGCTGCTGCTCATGTATCTTTTCCTATTTCTGCATATTTCTCGATAGATATTCAACATTGTTTATAACATACATTGTAGGATTTCAAGAAATGTTTGCTAAATATATAATAATGTATATCAAAGGCCTGTTTTGCTTCTTTAGAAGTTACCACCCATGCCTCAGTCTCACTCCCATCCATCCATTCACCAGAAATCAGAGGATCCTAAATTGAAAATATTATTCTTATTTACCTTAGCAATCAAGGTGTCAGTTATATAGAAAACTGGTAGGAGTGTAGTGTAAGGTAATATCTTGAAAGCTCATATATTTCACCAATATTTGCACTTATTTTTTTGGAGAAATTCTTCCTCTAAAGTAACTATGTATTTCTACAAA